AGGAAGTGATGCTCTCAGACTTCTGATGCTAGGTCATAAAACGTCTCTCTCTCTCTCTTTCTCTTTCTACCTCTCTATCTCCTTTCTCTCCACTTTCTTTGGAGCCTTGAGCCTCTATGTAAGAAATCTGGCTATTTGAAGCCACCGTGCTGGGGAGTCCATATAGCAAAATGACATAGAGATAGAGAATGATGCTCGAGGATCCCTACTATTTGACTATTGGCTTTGTGAGATGTGGCGGCCTGGAATTGGCCACCCCAAGATATGTCTCTTTGGCATGAGGATTATTTGGGGCTGATTGCTTTTAATAAACTGCAGATGGGAAGAAGGCTCTGAGGAGTGGAATTTGCTTGCCCTTTGTTAGGAGACATTTACATTGTAAAGGAAATCTCCATCTGTAAAGTTGTCTCCCTCTCTGTACCAGGAAGAAGGGGGATGACCTTATCTCTAGAAACTCCTATCAATACAGAATGCAAGGACTTAAATCTGCATAATAATCTTACTCCTGTTTATTGTGCTTGTCTGGTAACCTCCTGTAACTGACTCCCCTTACCCCCAACATCCTCCTTTGTCTTTAGCTGAATATGATATTTAAGGTGGGGGCTTCAGCCATTTTGGCAAGTTGCTCAGCTTGCCTGAGCCTCTCCCATGTATACATGTTATAAAGCTTTGTTTAATTTTCTCCTGCTATTCTGTCTCATGTGAATTTAATTCATTCTCTGGCAAGAAGAACCCAGAGAGGATAGAGGAAATGTCTTCCTCCCCTACAGAGACTTCTCAGCCCAGGTGCCAGACATACAAGTGAATCTTCAGATGGGTCTAGCCCCACTCCCCATCTGACTGTAATTGCGTGAGAAACCCTGAGGGAGAGCCCCCAGATCCATGAGGCAATAATAAATTATTCTTATTGTTTTAAGCCACTGAGTTTTGGGGTGATTTGTTATGTCTCAATAGCTAACTGATACAATATTTAATATTTGGCAAGTACTGTCTATGAGTCAAGCAGTATGATAAATGCTTTTAGGGATTACCTCATTTAATCCTAACTATCCCTATTAGATAAGCATTTTTACTCAGTCTTAGAGAAGTTAAGTGACCTGTCCAAGGTCACACAACAGTGAACCTGGGGTTGCAATCCAGAGACAGTCTGATCTAGGGCCCAAGTACCCAACCAGTAAGACCTCCCAGGTGCAGTGTTCCCTTACTGATGACTTTTCTGCTGGGTAACAGCACCTCCCCTGGTCCTGGCACACCTATTGCTCTGTCCCCCAGTAGTGGAGAAGTGGAGCCAGTGAGCAGAGGAGGGGCCAGCAGGACCTCACAGATCTAAGATGATCACTTCCAGCCAATGCCTGAACCCCAATGTTATAGTTTTATTCCTTTAGCTTTAAGACTGTGCATTGTGTTTAAACAAATCCCCACTGGTGCTGGTGATGGTGGGAGGAGACATATTATGTCTTATTACTCATTTATACGTAGTGAGGATGAGTTTATAGGAAGCTTTCCTATTGGAAGATTTTAATGGCAGCTGGGGTGGCAGAGGGAAAGAAAAAGAAAGAAGGAAGGAAGGGAGGGAGGAGGGAAAGAAGGAAGGAAAGAAAGTCAGCAGTGAAAATGTACAGACACCCAGAAGGAAAAGGGTTCAGAGGAGGTAGGTGCCAGAGGCAAACATTCATTTGTGTACGGACGCATTCATTCATTGTCATTCAAAAATTGTACTGAATGTCCACAACATACCAGGCCCTGCATTAAATGCAAAGGCCGGGTATTTCCTACCCTCAGTTAGCTCATAGGAACAGGGATGCATACAGTGTATTACAGGAACACTTACTCCTCAATGGGTGGAGAGATCAGGGAAAGCTTCCTGGAATAGGTGACAACCGAGCTGAGGTTTAAAGGACAACAGTTAACCAGGCAAACAGGAGGTGGAAGGCATGGGGTGGAGGGAACAGCACATGAACAATGGCCTGGAATGGTATATGTGGGGGCGAGGAGCAGTTTTGTGGTACTGGAAGGTAAAGTGCAAGTCAGGTTGTGCTGAGGATGAGCCCAGCCCAGAGGTCACAGAGAGGCTGTGGTGGTCATCACAGACTTTGAATTTTGTCTTGTAGGCAATGCGGAGCCACTGAGGGTCTTCAGGGGGCTGCGAGAAATCGCTCATCACCAGCCCTCCCTCCTGCCAAGCTCTGCCCAGCAGGATTTGTTGTTTAAATCCTACAGGTTGAAGACCTCACCTTAAAACCAAACTTGTTCAGATTCTGGTGGCAAAATCAGAGGTGGGAAATGCCTGCCAGGATGAAAACTTCCCAATGGTGTCCATGGGCTCAGCAAGCCCAGCTGGGTGTTCTCCTGGCAGAGTCGTCATTGGTGCCACGGCCAGCTCCATCTAAGGGCAGGACTTCATTGACTTTAACAGCATTCAAATCCTCAGTTAGAAAAACAAAAAAGTTATTAAAAACCAGCAGTGAAAGTGAGATGAGGAAGAGCTTGTCTGTGTCAGGCTGGGATGTGGGTCCAGAGAGTCAGCCACACGCCACACAGGGAGGGCTGGGCAGAGGGAGGGAAGGCCCTGGCTGCAGGCCCCAGCTGCTCAGGGGCTGGGAGGGGAGGGGGAGAGAGGTGGGCCAAGGGAGGGAAAGGCTTAGGGTCTCAAGACTGGCGAGGCCTGAGACTG